TTTTAATCTCAGAATTCAGAATTTTCTTCTCAGAATTCAAACTTTTTTCTCAGAATTCAGATTTTAATCTCAGAATTTTGGATCTTAATCTTAAAGGGCACCATGAAGGAAGAGATGTGGGAGCACTCAGCTTCACTGACAGAGATGTGGTTTGTTTGGGAGGGTAAATAACACATTGGTGGAAAATGACGGAATTAGGCGACTTTTTACATGCTTGAGGGGTCCACGGTGACGCTAGTTCATTAATGGAAGAGCAGAAGAGAATAGGGCCATTTCTCAATCTGTGTACTTGTGCGTTCTCATGTCCTCGTGAAACGCCATCAGCCTCAGCCCGAGTAATGTTCCAATTCACAAGAACAGCAGGATAAAGTCCCGTAAAGAACAGATAAAGTCCCCCGATGTTGTTCTAGCCCCTCCCTCTTTACCCAGCATGCATCAGAGCAGATTCGTCCGTTCTTGAGATTGACAGCTGTTTATTCAATGATGATTATAAAATGAATGTGTGCTTATGAAACATTTTTGCAAGGGGATGCTCCACTCCTGTGTCATGATCCAGTCAGGAGACCATCCTTCCTTGTCATTCTGATGGAGCATTCTGTCTTCATGAACTGATCAATTGTTCTGTCAGAACAATACTCTGTTTGTAACCATGCGTCATGTTCTGTTAAAAGTTCTCTTTTCTGTTGCTGTTGTTCGGTAAAAGTACGTTTTAAGATCATTTGAGAATATTATACTTTAAAGCGTCACTATATGGTCCATTTACCGATTTATTGCAAATTAAAAAAAAAAAATGTTCCAAAGTTGAGAGGACCGCAGCAACCAGCGGACCTCTGAGGCTAACGGCAACCCGTCTGCAGCAGCCCTCTCTCTGTGGTGTGTGAAGACCGCTGGCTCTGATTCCGATTTTTGTGTTTTATTTGGCAAAATGTTCATCTGACTGTGTTCATCGTTATTCCCCCATTAAATGAAAAAAGTAAGAATGTATTATTATCTAGAGACTGTTATTAACAGGAGGTGAAATGCAGCTCCAGAAGAGCCGAGCGTGTGGTGATGTCATCGCTTCTGTTCCAATTGACCCATATTTATTCTGCATGCTCCCGTTC